TGTGCATGGTGACTGCTTTTTGAACACGTTTGACCCTTTGCTGTCGTACATGTCGTTTGCCCCCACTCAAGTCCACGCCCAAATAACCTGCCCGAGTGCACGGCTTGACGTGAAAGCCTGCCTTCCGAAGCTGCTCAGGAACGAACTGCGCATCACCCAGGTGGGTGCATAGCACCACGCTCTTGGGTGAGACTGTGAGGCATTCGCTGGTGAGAGCACGGCATGTGTCCAAGAGGCCTTGGACAAGCGAAAGTCTGATCGCACGCCGTGAGCCTCGTACCCGTTGGGACAAATCGTCGACCCAAATTCTAGTGCCCATAGCTGGGTGAGCAACCGTGACACGAGAAAGAATGAAATACGTCAAACATCTGGCAAATCGAGTGCCTCCACGGAGGCCTTGCACAATGGAATGAGTAGGTAGTATAGGTTCGGCGTATGCCCCGCTTTGTCCCAACGACCGTGGCATGATACACTGCAATAACTCGGGATATAGAATTACTGGTGGGTACCCCAACCTTAGAGCCGTTGGTATAAGTAGAAACCATTCCATGGAATCGTAAAATCCCTGAATATCCAGAAGACCATGGCCCGTAGGGATACCAAGAGCCCCAGATACTTCCTCTTCGCAAACTCGTAAAAAGGCTTCCCGCAGGGCGGCGTTGCCCTGAATAGCTGCATCCCACATGGGCTCGGATTCAGTGGCCCAAGTCTTAACATGTGGCTCTCTGGCTAGACTCCATATTCGTGCTATCATCGAAAGGAGCCCGATGACCCGATCCCCTGAAACTTTCTTCGGTAAAAGCCGTCCAATAGTGAGCCCAAGTTGTGCTGGCCAAACAAGTGTCTCTTCGATAACGGCATATAGTTGGGAAAGTTCAGTCAACGCAATATCGGGTATCCTTTCGATATCGGTAGGACTTAAAACATCCACGCCTTGTCCAGCTCGCGCCTTCATGGCGTGAGCCGCTTGTCGAACCTCGCAAACTGAAAGCACATCCAGCGGTTCGTCACGAGCCGCTTCGCGTGCCACTGCAAAAGCGTGAATGATCCTCGCATCTGTTTCAGCTGAGGCTGATTTCGTCCAGAGGTCCCGAAATGGTTTGGCCCGCAGGTCCACAACATCCCGAGGTTGAAACACCACAGTAGCCCCTTGGATGATTTCCTCCGAAGGTACAGGATCCTGCCTCATAGCTTTATGCAAAACGCCTGCTGCCGTGGGAACTGCCATCCATTCTTTAAACTCAGCTAGCGAAGCCCGTAGCGCACGAGCGCGGCACCTCGCAGCAATCTTCTTTGCGGTTCCTACCAACAGTTGCAGCTTGTCCTGGGTGACCAGACGTGCACTGGACTTCAACAGTTGTTTCCAAACCTCCCAGGATGGGTCTGAACCAACCCGAAGTCCCCGATGGCCATCGTCAGGAGCCTGGTCCCCTAAATGTTTACACGCTTGCTCAAGCTGCTTCTGCTGAATGATACCGTTGGCGCGAGCTCGATGATTGTACAATCTTTGAAGAACCGTGTGTGTCTTTTCCCACCAGGATGTGAGTCGATCGCGATACGGAACCGTCCGACTCTTGGCTGGTAAACGCACTTCCTGAACCACAAAGCGATACCCACGAGCTCGCCCCAAAGATGGGGGCCCTTCCACTCCATGATGCACATAGATCGTCCGTTCGAGCGCGGTGACCCAAGACGCATACAACGCCGAGACATCCTGGATTGAACCATGCTCAAGCCTAGCGGCTACGGAAGAAGCAAAGGCAGCATGGAGAGTGCAAACACTAGAAGGGAACAGCCCGACTTCGGATCTCTCTTGGATCCAGGTCTCGGCTGGGATAGCGAATGACACTGGGCTCTCTTCCTGACTTGGGGGGGCGGCTCTTGAAACACGCTGGGGAGTGGGGGAATAAATTCACCGACTGGCTCTCCAACAGACGAATCATGTGCATCAGGAGTGGCAAGGCCCCAAGTGATGGACGGCGTGTACTGAGGTAACGTGAATACATGCGGCGCCCCTGGGTTCCATACCCACGGGCGCTCGTCGATCTGTTGACTAACCTGCTGCTGGGGAGAAAAGACACGTTCGACAGGTACGTCGATCTCGGGCCCCACTCCAGGTCCAACAGTCCCAGACCCACAACCTGAGGACCCCGAGAGGCCGTCAGGAGTGGATGAGGGAACCTTTGCACCCAGCTCGCGGTCAGGACAGAAATTGAGCTCCGACGCCCAAGGATCTTCTTCAAACTGCTCGAAGTCCTCGGGTCCCAAGTCTGGCTCGCGGTCGGGCTCCGCGTCTGCAGAAATATTAGCAGCTGCCGAGGCGTCAGTGTGCTCTGGCCAAAGGTCGCCAAAAAGCCCGTCGTAGCGCTCCTGACGCTTGACCTTGGCAGCTTGCATTCGGACCGACCGCTGTTGCTTCT